AGACATACTAGAAGAACCACCTCCTCGACCAGAAACACCACGAGATGGAGAGACTGAAGATGCGACGACTGCTAGGAATTTTAGAGACAAGTTAGCAAGGGATAGAGTATTGCTGGAGAATGAAGAGAGAAGGACAAGAGGTCCACGAGTCGGACACAACATTTTCTACAACGAAGTGCAAAAGAAACTGGTGTCCAGATTATTTTTGTCACTTGGTACAGAGGGAAAGAAACGATTTCTACAAAAGAACCCGCATGTTGAAATATCGAAAATGTTGTTCAAGGAAATCACAGAACTTGCAGAAGTTTTGTTTCAAAAGGTAAAATATGTAACATATGAAAGATATAAACTGTTTACACGAATGCAAGAATCCGAGGAATCTCTGGAGGCATTTCATGCAGCGCTAACCGCGCAAGCAGCTCGATCTGAATCGGGACGCTGGAAGTCGAGATAGTCCGTAATTTGTTCATTTCGAAAATGAAAAACATGACATTGCAGGACGCGTTGACATTCGAAACTCTAATTCCTGAAGAGGTTCTGAAAAGGGCGATAAAATTCAAACACAGTAAATTAACCACAATGGCATTTCAAAAGACAAATGCTGCGGCTACAGGAGGAACAAGTAACAACAACACTTCGGGAGTGAGGATAAAACAAGAACCTGTAATGGCAGTTAGAACTTCGTCAGGAACAACAAAGAATCAAAACAGAAGGGAAACAAATAAACGACAAAACAATAACAAGAACCCCAACATGAAATAACAACCATGTAACAGATGTGGAAGGACATTTGATCAGGGACACTTGAAAAATTGTTCAGCGATGGGAAAAACTTGTAAGAATTGTGGTAAACCCAATCACTTTGCCAAAATGTGTAGATCTCAGCAAGTAGGTGAGGTTGCGGAAGAATCGGATGGATCTGTAGAGGAATGCGATAAGATAAGCAAAAGCTTTGGGTCATGTAGCGATTTCGAAGTCATGTTGATACAAACATATCAATCGGAGAATGAAAGAGTCTCCAAATATGTCAAAGATCGAATCAGTGAAATGAGGAACAAATCAAATGGAGAGCCGATACAAGTCCAGAAAATCGATTCAATTCGAGACCCAACGTTGAAACGAGTAAAATCACTAAAAGCCATGGTAGGAATTGATAATCAAATAATACAATTGACAGTGGACACGGGAAGTCCAGTTTCTTTCCTAAATTGGGCGACGGCAAAGGAAATAATGAACAAATCAAGCAAAGTAAGATTCATTCCGTCGGAAAAACTGAATTTGCATACAAAATTCGTTGATTATAACAGACAACCGATCAGTGTATTGGGAGCTTTGAAGACGAACGTTCAAGGAAATCACAGAACTTGCAGAAGTTTCGTTTCAAAAGGTAAAATGTGTAACATATGAAAGATATAAACTGTTTACACGAATGCAAGAATCCGAGGAATCTCTGGAGGCATTTCATGCAGCGCTAACTGCGCAAGCAGCTCGATCTGAATCGGGAACACTGGAAGGTGAGATATTCCTTGATTTATTCATTTCGATCTCAGCCAAATTGTTTACGTTCTGTATACATTTCTTGTCACAGAACGTAAAACCAGATGCATCATGGGATTAGATCTGAAAGGACAAGTGGGGATAGTTACTACACAAAAACCAGCGCCGAAGGAACTTACCAGGTTTGACGTGCTCATGTGCGAGCAGTCAGAAGGTTGGAAAGAAAAATTTTTCAATAAATTCAAAAATTTATTTGAAAGACAAGGGATTTCAAAAAATCACATTGTAAGTTCGAAATTTAAATACCCCCTTTCAAGAAAAAGGGAGAAGAATTCCAGTTCACATACAGGACAAAATTGAAAAAAAAATCGAAAAACTGTTGACAGAAGGTCATATCACAAAGCTTGATAAATGTACGAGCGATTGCTTTATTGCTCCGATTGTGATAACAGTAAAAAGGACGATTCGATAAAATTGGCGATGGACGCGAAACCAATAAATAGACAACTGTTCAAGAATAAGTATCAAATGCCTAACGTCGATGAGCTCATCGATGGAGTGAGCCAAATTGTTACTGAAAACAAAAGTGGTACCCTCTACTTTACGGTGTTAGACTTGAAATATGCGTATAGTCAATTAAAATTGGCTGCAGATACAGCTAAACAGTGTAACTTTAATATTGTTGGCGGAAAAGCTACCGGGACATATATATTTCTTACAGGGTTCTATGGATTAGCGGACATGTCAGCTGAATTACAAAAAGCCATGGACAGAACCATCAATCACGCTAAAAACACATTCTGTTTTCTGGATGACATTCTCATTGTGTCAAAGGGAAATGAAATGGAACATAGAACACTGGTGGAATCGGTACTTAAAAAACTGGATGATGAAAATCTGGCATTGAAAATATCAAAGTGTGAATTTTTCAAGCAACAAGTGAATTGGTTGGGTCATCACCTCTCAGAATCAGGGGTTAGTCCAAAATTCACTAAAACCGAAGCGATTTTAAATCTAACTCCACCGAAATTGCTTAAACAGTTAAGGTCATTTCTGGGCAGTATTAATCACTTAGCGAAATTTATACCTAACGCAGCAAGTCCACCTAACGTTCTACCTAACGTTCACAGAAGAGAACCAAAAGAAAAAGTTGAAGAACATGAAATTACCAGTCAAAAAGTTCGAGTGGGGGAATGAGCACACTGCGGTATTTGACGCTATAAAAGACGCAGTAGCAAATATTACAAAAGTTCATTACTATGACGCTAACCGAGAAACAAGAGTTAAGTGTGATGCAAGCCATGATGGCTTGGGCGCTACATTGGATCGGTACTTAAATTTGCAAGAAAAAAAATAATCAACAATTGAATTGGAGCTACTGGCAGTTGTTTGGGCAGTAGACAGATACAAACATTACCTTTTGGGAAAACCATTTACCATTGCAACAGATCACAAAGCGCTCACATCAGCGTTAGACGGTAATAAGTCTAATAAGACCTATCAATCTCGTTTGATCCTGTGGGTCGATCGATTGTTGCCATATCAGTTTAAAAAAGTTCACATTCCGGGGAGGGACATGGGTATAGTTGAATACTTATCGCGTGATCCTTTCAATTATCCTTGGCCAGAATCAGAATTAGACAAAAAGTTTGTAGTAGCGACAATAAACTCGTTTCATGAAGCATTAGACTGCATGAGCAGTAGGCTGAAAGGCGTTGGGTCGCTCAACTGGAACGAAAACGTTCTAGAATGTTCTAGAAGGAATGCAGAAAAACAGTCATCAATTAATGATTGTCATGACAACCAAAACGGTCAAAAACGAACAAGGCTCGACCGGAACGAGAGAAAACAGTTTTCACGACTGCCAAAACAGCTAACCACAACAGTTCAAGATAAACAGATCACTTTTTCGTCAACTCAACTCAGCAAACGGTTGTGCCCAAAGAAATCGAAATTCACCAAAAAAACAGAATCCCAAAATCAGAAGAAGATAGGAAAATTAGACTCAAGGAACGAGATGTCAGAAAAATTCAATAGATCTTACGATTGGTGGTCGGATACACCACAGGACTGGCGCAATGATGATCGAGAGGAGAGCATTCTGGATCCAAAATGGAATCGTTCAATGTCAAATGCAAACGAATTTTTTGAAGAGGAGGAAGTCACAGAAACATTACAGCGCACGCGAAAGATAATTCGTGGAGGCCGGAAAAATAGAGATAGGTCGGACAGTGAAACACGACACTCATCACGAGTTAAATGGCAACTCGAACCAGAACAACAAAGAGAAGCAGACCAGAGACTACTTTCGTTCTGGCAGCTAATCGGGGGAAAGAGTAACAAACCGGTGAGCATTAACAGAGAGTTAGTAGCAAACACAGAGGAAACCAGTGACAGCCCAAAAAACTGTCAAGGTCCAATCAGCATCAAACCAACTACACCGGAGGAAAGAAAGTTGAGTGAGGTGCAAGTAATTGAGGTGGATCTGACGACTACAGAAGACATTGAAAGTGAACAAGAGATATGTGCCATTGAAC